CTTCCATATCGTCACACTTCTTTTTGAGCCCAACGACTTCTTCTTTCAGTTCCAACACGGTGGTGCGCAAAGCAACAACCTCATCGGACCAGGTCGACAAGCRYRCCTCCACCTCTTTAACGCTCTGTTTCACGTGGTCCAGATCTGTGCGCAGTAGCATCGTGCCGCTAGCCACCGCTTGCAGCTCCCCTTTAATAAGAGTAAACTCTTCAGCCAAAGCCGCTTTTATTTCGGATTTGATCACAGTTGAGAAATCGGTTTTTATAGCGGCAAGAATGTCAGACCTCAAGGAAAGTGCGTCCGCCTCACTGCGGGAGGGAGAGGAGAGCGCCGAAACTCCGGCTTTAGCTGCAGTCAGCTCCAAGGCGGCGTCAGGCCTAGCAGCCGTTGAGCTAGAATGTTTGCTTTTCCTCGAGTTTGTRGCCATTCTTCTGTTTTTCCAGGCAAGAATCACTCAGGGGTCGAGTCCAGACGGACCAAATGTTCAAAATAGCAAGGACATTTAGTATAGAACCACATACAGAACAAGTCGGAGCGGGAGCCACGCGACACGTCTCACCCCTCCACCACCTTGCCGTAACTCACTATTTTGAGTTAAAATTATATGATTTTACAGTTTAAGTTAAGACAATTTAAATCCCAAAATTGTTTCAATTCACATGATAGATGGTGTTAAAAAGTTAAGACACCACAATGTGTTAATACACCATATATTTGAGAGTTTAAATTTAACACTCAAGAGTTAATATCTAACTCTTTGTAGTGTTGCATTAACCCAGCTCAGTGGTTTATCCATCCATTATCTATACCCGCTTTTTCCTTTCAGGGTCACGGGGGTCACTAGTGCCCATATCCAGCAATCACAGTGCGAGGGGCGGGGTACATATTGAGTAAAGATGCAGATAAATGTGTTGGTGCCCTTTTACAATGCTAAAAAGCTCTAGTATTGGCTCATCAATCCCAGAAATTTAAGAAACTTTCACTAAAGCACTTTGATGAACTCTTATCTGAATTTTTTGTCTTTCTGTTAATCATTAAGCCCTCCCGAGTCGTTTTGAGTGGAGTCTGTTAAAGTTTAAAATGTGAATGATTATTTATTGTGCCCTTTTATGATTACTGGCTGATTCACCTCCTGACATTAAAACAATAAAAAGCTTATCTAAACTTTAGTGTTCCTGTAAAGTCTCATCTCACTTACCGTAGTGCCTCATACCAAGGTTTGGATTTGGGGGGATATAGTTGTGGAAGGGGACTGAAAGTGTCTCATACCCAGCTTTCTTTGAACAGATTGGGTTTTTTTCCCAAAAAATATAAATACTTAAATGTATCAAATAACCCACTACAAATACATATTTGTTAAAACAAAAATATATTTCCATTCGAATACTATCAGCCAATACAAAATGTTAGACAATAAGACACAACAAAACATTGTTTTTGCCAAGTGCAATATTTTAAATTTGGCATTGGTAAGTAGGGATGAACGAAGAACCCATATGACCAGGGTTCTTGTAGGTGGGCGCATTGCTCTCTCAAAAAAGACACTGAGCTTTAGTCAAACCTTCGTGTCCTTTGGATAAAGAACACACYGTCTCAATTTGTCTCAGTTCTGGGGCTGCGTCCTCCATAGTGCGCTTTTGTAGGTCAGTTACGTCACTGTGCTGCATTAAAGGTCGTCCCGCAGCCGACAAATCTGGTCCTCAAAACTCAGAAAATGAAGGATGAATGTCCTTTGTGACCATGATAACTCAGGATTCATTGGGCCTCATGCAAGAACATGTTCGTATTCTTBTCCTAAATTTCTCTTACTTTTGTTCGTACAAAGGGTTCGTACGAACATGCCACGTCAGATTCAACAAACTCTTCTATCTTCAGGAAACGTGCGTAAATGTGCTGCGTAAATTGTACCTGTTCTATCCAGCTGCTCGTGCACGCAAGAGGAGATTAACATAATTACCACCCCAAAAACACCATATAAGGCTATGATTCCTGCCTCAGATAACAGGAAGTGTTCATTCATTCATGAGAAATGACAGCGAAAATTATAAAGAAGGAGAAGTTTACGAGTTCAGAGATTGAAGTCCGTCTGTCAGAGATCCAGAAAAGAAAATCTGTCATGTTTAGCAGGTCAGCTGTGGGATAAAAAAGAGCTGCTAAAAGTATAAACAACTGTGTTAAATTATTTTCATTTATACTGAAGGCGCAGCGCTGTGCACCGTGCCCCCCCCCCGTGCCCCACCCCGCGCGCTGCGGTGGTCTCAGATGCGGGT